TGTGCTTAGCAGGATGTCTCTCTTACCTGTACAGGGGTCTGTGCTTAGCAGGATGTCTCTCTTACCTGTACAGGGGTCTGTGCTTAGCAGGATGTTTCACCAACACAAAACATCCCAGATTTATCTAAAGAATATTTAAAATTCTATTGTTCCAAGAGTATTTTTATATTAAGCATAAAAGGTGATTACTAAAAGGATACTATTTCTCTTACGAAAATTAAGTCCACTCCATTTTCAGAAGACCCAGAGGATGACTTTAGGCATGTGTGTCTTTTCATCTCTCCATGTGTAGTTCTTATATACAGTATCTTTTTAGCCTCTTCTCTTGTAGTATACAAGATAGAAAAGAAAGAGTTTTTTTCCTAACATACTCAAGAGGTGAGGCTTAGATATTTCACCCACTCAATTTATTAAAAGCCCACAAGCTGAAAACTCATACATAAAATGGTTTCACACAACAAAATTAATAATAGGGACACACACACACACACACACACACACACACACACACACACACACATATTGTTTTTTAAAGTACCCAGGAATTGTTTGATTCATCTGTTCTATTATAGACCTCACAAGTCATTCACAGAAAGTCCAACTTAATGAAATGATTCAATTTTGTATTGGGTTTGCTTCACACATGGACATTTTGATTGACATATTCAAGTCAGATAACAAAGCTCCATTTTAAAACCTAAAGTGATAACTCTGCTCAAAAATCTTCTTTTAAGCCATGAATTTGTCTCTTCCAGTGTCTCCTTGCCGTGACAGCCATCTAGTCATTTCCAGATACCTCCTTTTCGGAAAGAATCTAAGATATTATTTAATTCCCATTCCAAAACTCCATCTTAGCCACCACAATGATAGGTGGAAAGAACACTAGATGTCACACCAGAAAATCTGTCCAAACCAAGACGGTCCAAATCTCATGCTATATGCCCAGAGTGCATAAAGATATTTCTAGCCTTAATTTCCTCATTATCAAAATAAAGATCACAGTGCTTGCCTTACAGTACTGTTTTCAAGATAAAATTAGGTTTAAAAATATGTAGGTGTAGGTGTAATGTATAAAGTCCATAAATTTATTGTCATTGTCATCATCATCATATCATCATCATCATCATTATATTATCATCATCATCATCATCATCCATGTACAAGGGTGGTCCATTGATTACTCAGTGAAGATTTATCAAGCATTACTAAGCAGTAAAGATACAAAGGCCTTAGGGAGCTTTGATTCAGGGGCAGGGGACAAAAGGACAATTGGGACGAAGCATGCACTGAGGTGACAATGTGTCAGGGAGATGGTAGAGCACCACAAACAGAGCATGTGCACCATGAGCATGGGAAGCGAGGGAAGATGAGGACTCCTGCATGGACACCAGAAGGAACCACTTCATTTCAGATCCAGCTTCAAGAAAATACACCCAAGTCATTCTTCTGGGAGGTGTTCCATGTACTTACAGCCCTAGGCCCAAGGCCAGCTCAAACGTGTCCCAATCCCTTCAGACAGTCTTTGTCAACCTCAGCACCACTGATATTGAGTCTGCACAGTGTGGTGTTGTGAGAGGGCTGCTTCATGCATCACAGAATGTTTGGTGGCATCCCTGGCTCATACTTACTCAATGCCAATAGTGCCATTCCCTGCCCCCCCTCCCCCCGGCTACAACACTAACAAATGACTCCAAGTGAGAACTATGACCTTGATCATGAGAAACCAGTACTGGTGCTTACAGAAAAAAAAAATGGGATTCATTTAGCTAGGTACCAAATACTGAATGACTAACGAAGCCTCCTGGAGCCCTTTGGCAAATTCCTTCTGAGTTTCATCCAGAAGAGATGTTGATTGTATTTAAAGCCCCCATGTGAGATGCAATAATGTTACATCTTTTTAGACACTGCTCTGACAGGGTTGTATGATCTTGGGCAAGTCATTCAAACTCTCCAAGCCTTGGTTCTTAAATGGAGATAATAAATTCTGTTTTGCAAGATCATTGGAGGAATTAAGTGAGATAAACATAAAACACACAGGCACAGGGTCTTGATACTCATTCCTTTGGTGCAATTAATATAATAGGAATCATGCTCGTGATATGACTCAGGTGGGTAGTGGTGCTCGCCATGAAAGCCTCCCAACATGAATTTGATCCCCCAAACCCATATAATGGTAGAAGAAGAGAATCAGCTCCACAAAGTTGTACTCAGACTTCCACATGTGGCATGTGTGCCCCCCTTCTCTACAAACACACACACACACACACACACACACACACACACACACACACACGCACACGCACATGCACGCACACACGCACGCACACACACGCACACACGCACGCACATTTTTTTAAAAAATGAAATCTTAACAGAAGGCTCTCCCAATTCTATCCACCAAAATGGAGTAGTACAGTTTTGTAGTACACTGCTTTTGTGATTGTGTGGAACAGTGTATCAGAAACTGACATGCTGGCTAGTTAACTCAGCCCTCACAAGCAACCAGATTACCTAAGAGATCACAGATATGCAACTTGCCAAGAACTATACAGATTAAAAATCGGTTCCTTGAGCTTGCAAGCCTCAGCTCTGTAGGTCTGCTGGTCCCGTTGCCTTGGGCACACTGAGGCTTGATTGAGCCTGAGGAAAATGTTTTCTATACTCTGTGTTCCGTAGTTTCTTGTAGACATAGATTACAAGATCTGGAAATGTCTCCTGAAAATAACGAGAAGGGTCTCCAATTCTCTCCTTCATGCTGAAAGGAAACACAAATAGTTAGCCTACCAGCCCCAAGCTGTTCCCCCTTCTTAGAATGCACCCGGAGAGCTCTCTGTTCTTGATTCTATGGCGGGAACAGTAAGGACTTTGGGATCTGATGAATGAGATGCTTCCTGACTCTTGAATAACCGCAACTTCATCTTTCTGAACTTGTTTGTTCATTCATAAAAATGGTAGTAACACAGGGGGATGGGGGAATCTCACAAGACCCTACCCCTAGAAAAATAGCTGTTACAAGCAGTTAACGGGTGCTGAGAGAGGGAAATCAGTCTTTTCCAGGAAGGAGACCCCTCTGAGAGGTTCCAATCCCAAGTGAGAAAAGAAGCACTAAACAAAAACACATATGAACAACATTAAGTGGACTCAGTATTTATCTATACATATGTATATATGAAGCAGCAATTAAAGAGAGGCTGGGAACTAGAGAGGGAGTTGACGGGAACACAGGAAGAGTTGGAAGGGAGAGGGAAGGGTAGTACATACAGGACATACAGTATTTGTGTATGAAATTCTACACAAATGATGTACATACAGTATTTATGTATGAAATTCTAAAAAAGAAAAGTAATTAAGCAAAATGGTGATACAATTCCACAACTCCTTATACACAATAATTTTTAAAAAAAACATCCTAAACAGCAAGAGGTTGTGTGTGTGTGTGTGTGTGTGTGTGTGTGTGTGTGTGTGTGTGTGTTATGTGTGTGTTTGCACCTAACATTTTTGATAACAAAAGATGATTTAATGTGGGGATGGGCTCAACTTATATAACTCTGCATTGCTTCATACAGTGGTCCTATCTTCTATACTATTCACATAGAAAGCTACTCTGTTCAGTAGAACTCAGCAAAGCTGAAAAGGAGGATGAGAGCCTGCGGACTCAGTGAGATCCCTTTTTTAAACAGAAAATAACTGCTTTTGCTTTTTCTCCTCCTCTTCCTCCCCCTTCTTCTCCCCCCTCCTCCTCCTCTCTCCTCTATCTTCTCCTTCTTCCCTGACAGGGTCTAACTGTATATTTCTGGCTGGCCTGGATCTTGCTGTGTAGACCAGACGGACCTCGCAGAGATCCATCTACCTCTGCCTCCTGAGTTGTGGAATTCAAGACATGTGCCACCCCACCCCCAACTTGCTTTTTTTTATCAAAGTAATTTTTCTTCTTTCTATGCTGGCAGACTTGGAAGTGGGCTTTCTAATTGCTCTCACTCCATGGATGACTCACAAGAATGAAAGCTACACTTACTGCTTATTTTTATCCTCATCGATGTGTTCTCCTATATTCCGAATGAACTTCAGTAAGTCACCCACAGTGTCCTGATAAGGTTTTCTGTTGTTTCTCGTATAGAAATAATCCATTTCTTTCATAACATATTTGTCAATCTAAAAAAAAAAACAAAAAAACACGAAACATTACCCCCAAGATATGATAACGGTATGGAACAAATCCTGATGTGTTAATATCAGAAAGCCAAATACAAATCTGAATAAATGCCCTTTACCAATGAACAAAACAAATAGACAAAAATAAATGAAAGCACATGCTACACACCACACGCTATGTTACACAGGGCAGTTGTGTTGTGTCTGAATGAAGCATTATCAGTGACCGATTTCCTTTTTGTCCACGTTTACCAGTTTCCAAGAAATTGCGCCTATTGAAACCCTTTGTGGGAGTGCTAACTAGTCTAGCCACTATGAAAATCAGTATTGAGGTCCCTGAAAAAACTAAACCTCCGTCTACCAAAAGAACGGCTACAACTGTGCTGGAAATTTAACCAAAGGACTCTCGGTGAGCCTATTACAGAGCCATTGCAGAACCGCTCCCGGTAGCCAAGATGTGGAGCCAACCCAGGTGTCCCGCAAGAGCAGAATGGTTAAGGAAAATGTGGTTTATGTACACAATGGAATTTTTTTTCAACCAAAGAAAGAACAAAGTTATGTCATTGCATGAAAATTTATACAAATGGAGATAGTCATAGCAAGCAAATTAAGTCACTCCCAGATAAATAACATGGGATTTTGCTTAGATACATAAATCCATATATGTATATCTGAAATGAAAATAGAAGCCAAACTGTCTAGAGCAACAGGGACTAAGGAAAAGGGGAGGGTTATGAGGGGAGGGTAGAAGGGTGTAGGGGAATCATATACTTATACAAAAATGTCTCCAGGCAGTGGTGGCACACACCTTTAATCCCAGCACTTGGGAGGCAGAGCCAGGCAGATCTCTGTGAGTTCGAGGCCAGCCTGGTCTCCAAAGCGAGTTCCAGAAAAGGTGTAAAGCTACACAGAGAAACCCTGTCTCGAAAAACCAAAAGTCTCTACTTTCAAGTTTGTCCAGATCTAAAACTATCATACACATGCATTCAGCAAAGAGTCATGGCACACGTACTCCATACTAAGAACTAGCAAGACAGCCTCTGTCTGTGCCCCCATGGAACTTGCAGACTAGCAATGAACACACATATTAAACCAGCAATTACAAGCAGAGATGAGTGAAGGAAAGAAAACAAGCTGGAAAGCAGAAACAAAGATGGAGAGAGGAACAGGGGCCTGAAGTAGAGAAACTGCTGGTCTCAAAGACCTGAAGACCATGGATTCTCCCAGAGTGCTTTGTACATGTCCCACACCACACAGCATCATCTCTGCCTCACAGGTAACATGCTTTATTCTGCTTTATGGTGCCCAGACCTTGATGCTGGCTTAAAACATAATTGGATTTGAGAAGTGTTTGTAAATTTACAATAATGAAAGTTTTGTGATAAAGACAAGATTGAGATGGTGATTAATTTTATAGAGTTCCCCTAAATTCAAGTTTGGCAGAATTTGTTTTGAAGAGAAAGAATTTGAAAGGTTATCTTTTTTCATAATGTGTTTTCTCAACACAATGTGGGTCCTCAGAGCTGGGGCTGCACACAGGGTGGCCAGTCTGTCCAGGCTATGGGTGTCTGTCTGTCCTCATGGGTAGAGAGCCTCCTTGGCTTAGGCTCTACTTAGTCAGTTGTTCTTGTCATAACAGGACTTGAGGGGATGGACAATGGGCTGGGTTAAGACCATCCTAAGGCAGAACTTAATGACAGTGTCTTGGGGGCCCTGGGCTCTGAAGGAGGGAGCAGAGACTCAAAAGAGTCAAGAGGGCTCATTTGGAGAGAAGAAAATGATCTCATTCACTTCCTGGTAGCAACAGCCTGGTGTACAAAATAAGTTAGAAAAAGCAGCATCAACTGTTACACATACTCTTCTTCCTAAGTCACAGAAACTGTTCATACCTTAGATTTCCACTGATAAAAACTTCTGGAAGGTTCATGTGTCTGAGGCTGGAGTTGTTTGAGAAGCTCACTTTTACCTTTTGGTTGTTTTATGTCAGATTCATTCCCCACATTCCGAAGTGTTCTGTAGCGGCTGAGAATGATAGAAATATCATGGTCATTCCATTTTTTCCAAAAAGAGAAGACTGATATGTTTTGATTTTTAATAAAATTTCTGCATAATGGGAGAGGCCACCCCATTGCTTCCCACCATTCTTCAGTACTTAAAACCAGAACAGGTGGTTGCACCTCCCACGGACACACTGCCTACATGCCAAGGTGAGAGGAAAGCCTGGGCCTGCTGCTTCCCAGCCCTGGCAGCTGCCCACACCACTTGTCCCTCTCCATCTGAGAGCCTGTGACACAATGGTTCTCAACCTGTGGGTCACAACCCCTTTGGGGGTCAAATGACCCTTTCACAGGGGCCGCATATCAGTCATCCTGCACAGCAGATATTTACATTACGATTCATAACAGTAGCAAAGTTACAGTTATGAAGTAGCAATGCAATAATTTTGTGGTTGGGGATCATCACACCATGAATTATTAAATTATTATTAAATTATTATTAAATTATTAAAGGCTCACAGCATTAGAAAGGTCGAGAACCACTGCTGTACCACATACCCGGGTTCTACTTACTTCTCCCAAGTCCAAAAGAAAGGATGGCTGAGAAGGTCCTCCAGACAGTTCATTGCATTCTCTCCAGGATAAAACAGGCAATAAATGAGGTCCTTAGTCACCACATCTGAAGATTTTTTAATCACCTCTTTATTATTTTGTGCCTTCAGTGTCTCAAAGGGGATCTCACCTTTCTTTACCACATAGAGGACCAGCCGTCCAAGGGCCTGCACAGAAGCCATAAATCAGGCCAAAATTATAAAATAAAAATTACCTCTTTTTGAGTAACCTTGAAAGATTTGATTGTTAGTATCGTTATTGTCAACTTCATTGGTCAGATACCTGCCTCGAAGATTATTAAAGGGCATCTCTGGGTGTGTCTGTGACGGCATTTACAGAGATTATGATCATGAGGGCTCTGGCCTAATGGCCAGTGATAGATTCAGATTTTCATTAGACTTATGTGGAAGTAGCGGGACATTCCAAGATGGGACCTGTTTGGAAGAAGTGGTCCAGCAGGGGATTGTCTGGGTGGCTATACCTTGACCTGGTCCCTTCCAGTTAGGGCTCAGCTTTGCTTCCTGTCCGTGATGAGCTGCTCTATGAACCCTCATTTCCAGCCTAAGCAAAACATTCTTCCTTCAGGTTTTCACAGTGACACATAAGTAGTCAGTCCAGACAGTATGGAAATGGAAGATGGGGGGGGGGAGTTTGAAGGGCCCTGGGGGCTAGAGTCCTGTGGCCCCATGGTGTCATGTTAACACTCTGGACTCCAAATCTTCAGGATTCTAGGTGAGAAAGGCAAAGCTCTGAACACAAAGAGCTCTTCAAGGCCACACATGCCCACACGGTTTAGGCTCCCGGAAGAGCCTGGTCCAGAGTTGATGTGATAGACTTGTTGGCAGCAGGATTCCACCTGGGTCTTGAATGTTCTGACAGAATGTAGATAAGACAAGAAAGGGAGGATACACAAGGACACTTGCTCAACTATGTTCATAGCAGCGTTATTCATAATAGCCAGAATCTGGAGACAGCCTAGATGCCCCTCAACTGAAGAATGGATAAAGAAAATGTGGTACATATACTCAATGGAGTATTATTCAATGTTAATAAAAAAAAAGCAATGACATTATGAAATTTGCAGGCAAATGGATGGAACTAGAAAAAAATCATCCTGAGTGAGGTAACCCAGACTCAGAAAGACAAACATGGTATGTACTCACTTATAAGTGGATATTGGCTATAAAGCAAAGGATAACTAGGCTTCAATCCACAGCCCTAGAGAAACTAGGAAACAAGGAGGACCCTAAGAAGTATGCATGGATGGCCGGAAGGGGAAATAGATGAGATCTCCTAGATAAACTGAGGGCAGGGGGGGGGTATAGGGGAGGGTATGGGCAATGGGAACATGAGGAATCAGGATGGTTGAGTTGGGAGAGGGATGGAAAGGGAGGGCAACAAGGGAGATATCTTGATAGAGGGGCCAGTATGGAGTTGGGGAGAGGCCTGGTGCCAGGGAGGCTCCTGGGGTCCACAGGGATGACCCCAACTAGGACTCCTGGCAGTGATGGAGAAGATGCCTGAACTTGCCTTCTCCTGTAATCAGATAGGTGACTACCCTAATTGTTATCATAGAACCTTTGTCCAGTGACTGATGGAAGCAGATGGAGAGGTCCACAGCCAGGGATTTGGCCGAGCTCCAGAATTCCAGTTGAAGAGAAGGAAAAGGGAGTATATAAGCAAGGGGGGGGTCAAGATCATGATGGGGAAACCCACAGAGACAGCTGACCCAAGTTCATGGGAGCTCACAGACTCTAGACCGACAGCTAGGGAGCCTGCACGGGACCTACCTAGGCCCTCTGCATGTGGGTGACAATTGTGTAACTTGACCTGTTTGTGGGGCCCCTAGCAGTGGGACCAGAATCTGTCCCTGGTGCATGAGATGGCTCTTTGGAACCTATTCCCTATGGTGGGATACCTCACTCAGCCTTGATGCAGGGGAGGAGCTTGGTCCTGTCTCAACTTGATATGCCATGCTTTGTTTACTCCCATGGGAGGCCTTACCCTTTCTGAGGAGTGGATGGAGGCAGGTTGAAAGGAGGTGGAGGGAGGAAATGGGAGGAGAAGAGGGAGGGGAAACTGTAGTTGGTATGTAAAATAAATTAAAAATAAATACATAAATAAATAAAAGGAGGATGCTTTGAACAAAGGGGACACCTTAGGACAAACTAGGAACTGGATCCAGTACTATGTGAGGAGGCAGATAATAGAGTCAGATAATTTCCAGTCAGGTGGGACACGGTGCTAGCCCAGGGAACCAGGCTTTGGCAGGGCAGAGAAGCGGTCAGCACAAGAGACAGTTACACTAGATACCAGGGGGGAAGAATTGAAGTCAGGAGCCACCAAACCAGAACCAAAGCTATTGCCCATTGCCTACGATCCAGGAGAGAACTGCTCGGCTGTGTCTAAACAAGCCAGGCAGCCTCTGTACACAGGGCCTGGCTCCGGGTCCTCTCAGGAGCTGTTTTACAGTCTTGAGGCTTCTGCTGAGCTCTCTTTCCTTGGAGCTGAAGGCTGACCCCACCTCACTTCCACCCCAAGAATTGTCTAGAGACTCCGTATCTGGCTTTTTTTGGTGATCAGCAGGTAAGTTTGAATAGAGTTGGGAGGAAATCTCATTTGCCTTATCCTTAAGCAGAAAAATATTTGCAGAAGGAACCTTTGAGGTATTCAGAAATGCCTCCTGGAAGTCTTTGAAGAAGCAGCATCCTCCATTTAGTTACTTATTTAGCTAAGGGAGGCAGAAGGGAAGAGTTAGAGATAAAGAAAGCGACCACAGCCAAAGGCAACTCCACACCAGCTCAGCGATTCCACCTTCTCCTCTACCCTGTATGGTGATATTTTATTTGTACTGAAATGTGATTTTAATTTTATGTTAATAAATAAAGTTGCCCTGGGGTCAGAGCTATTAGAACCATAGCAAGAGCGTGGTGGTTAGAAGAGCTAGGTAGATTTCTGTGTGTTCAGGGATACAGCCAGTATTGGAGACATATGCCTTTAAGACCTGGAGGGCGGTACTTA